GTGGATTTCACAAGTTTCAAAGTCTCCCCTCCCCCGACCGCATCCCAAAACCAGTCCAGCTCGTCCCTGCCTCCCTAACCTGTTCTTCCTCCCACCTATCCCCTCCTCCCACCTCAAGCCGCACCTCCATCTCCTACCGACTAACCTCATCCCGCCCCCTTGACCTGTCCGTCCTCCCTGGACTGACCTATCCCCTCCCTAACTCCCCACCTACACTCACCTTTACTGGCCCCATCCCCGCCTCTTCGACCTGTCTGTTTCCTCTCCACCTATCCTCTCCTCTATCCACCTCCCACTCTCTCCCTATTTATTTCAGAACCCCCTTTTCTGATGAAGGGTCTCGGCCCGAAACGTCAGCCTCTCTGCTCCTATGATGCTGCTTGGCCTGCTGTGTTCATCCAGCCCTGCACCTTGTTGTTTCAGCCTTATTATGAGAGGTTTTGAGTTCAAGAGCAAGGAGGTGGTGTTCAACTTGTTAGAGTTCTATGAACAGTTGCAAGTGTGACATAATAGAAATGAGGTGAATGTATTGGAGTGAATGCAGAAGTGATACACAAGGTTCCAGGCATGGTTCCAAGCTATAGTCCAACAGGTTTATTTGAAAACACAAGCTTTCGAAGCCTTGCCCCTTTTTCAGTTGTTAGTGAGAGAGGTGGCATCAGACACAGAAATTAAAAGTAAAAGATCAAACTAATGAGGATGTGCTAAACAAACCTAAGATGCTGTTAAATCTTTGATCAGTTGGAAGGTCTTAATTGATTCATATATATATGTAAATCGCCGAATTTCTTTCAAGCCACTGCACTGAAAGAGCTAAAGCGTAAAGAAGAAGTGACATTTTAGGTCATGGCAGATACTCATGTGACTCAGCCAATGTTGTCTATCTCATACGCTGCAGGCAAGGATGCCCCGAGGCATGGTATATTGGTGAAACATTGCAGATGCTACAATTAGGGATGAATGGGCATTGCACAACAATCTCCAGACTGGGATGTTCCTTCTCAGTAGGGAAATGCTTCAACGGTCAAGGACATTCAGCCTCGGATCTTTGGGTAAACATCTTCTAAGGTGGACTTTGGGATACACAACAATGCAGAGTCGCTGATCAGAGGCTGATATCCAAGTTCGGCACCCATGAGGTCAGCCTCAACCGGGATCTTGGGTTCATGTCGCACTACAGGTGACCCCACCACACAATACACTCTCACACACATTCTCACTTTGCACACATACACACACACACACACTCACTCACACAAACACACACTCTCACACAGACCCTGTCTCATACATACACTGTCTCTCAAACACACACGCACACACGCGCACACACAAATCTATGGAGTGAATTTGTATTTGCAGATACATTCTATTTGTTGAAAAAGCACCCAATTTATAGACAGTCAGTCAATGTGGCGTTCTATAAATTTTAGAAATAAAACCCGTCTGACTCCAAACCAAAAGATAAACAGATTCTAAACAAAGTCTCACAACTACATGCATTGTCTGACCTAAAACGTCACCTCTTCTTTATACTGATAAAACCTTTAGTTCTCTCAGGGCGGTGACTTGAAAAGAATTTGGCGATTTACATATACGTATTAATCAATTAAAACCTTCTAATTGATTAAAGATTTAACTGCATCGTAGGCTCGTTCAATACATCCTCATTAGTTATGCAATGCTTTGACCATTTACACATAAATTCTGTCTGATGCCACCTCTCTCATTAACACCTGAAGAAGGAACAAGGCTCTGAAAGCTTATGTTTTCAAATAAACCAGTTGGACTATAACCTGGTGTCATGTGATTTCTCACCTTGTCCAACCCAGTCCAACACCAGCACCTCTACATCATAGTTCCAAGCAGAAACTTCGTTTATGAGCATAAATTTAAAAGGTTGGGACTTTGCCCTTAGAGAGAAATTTGATTGATGTTTCCAAAATCATGTGCAGACTGGATAGGGTGGACAGGGAGAAAGTGTTCCCACATACAAAACAAAAGGGCATAGATTTAAAGTGACAAAAAAAACCCCAAAGACCTGCAGATGCTGGAAATGAAAAACAGAAGGAGAAATTGCTGGAAAAGCGTAGCAGGTCTGAAAGCATCTGTAGAGGCAAAGCAGAGTTAACGTTTAAGTCCAATGACCCTTCTATATTTAAGGTGATGGGTGAATGAAGCAAGGGTGATGAGTAAAAAATCTTTTTCCCACAGTGATTAGCTCGGGTATCCATTACCTGGAAGTATGGTGGAGGCAGGTTTAACTGAGACATTTAAGAGGGTAATGCATGTTTATTTAGAAATGAAATGCAAGGTCTTCTATACCAGAACATCACATTGTTGTCACTGGGTCCAAATCATGGGCTTCCCTTTGCAACACCATTTTGGGGCTACTTAAACCAAATTGAATGCAGCAGTTCAAGAAGATCGCTCACCACCACATTCTGAACGATAACTAGGTAGGAACAATAAATATGGGCACAGCCAATGAAATCCACATCCCTGAATGAATATAAAATAAGTCGTCTAGTTTTATTAGGGGGATAGTTTCTGGCTGAGATCTGTGGACTGCTGTCAATATGGAAATTTTTCAAATAAGTGTTCTACAAGGTCCTATTTATTACTCGGCCAAACAATTTGTTATTAACCAATACAATTTTAATTGACAATAATTTTCACATCCGGGTCCTGACTCAAATTGGCATGTTCCAGAAAAGGTAATGCATATTTTTGAAGGGCTAAGCCAACTGTTGGGCTTACTGTCTAATGAAGGGCACCTTATGGGGTTCTGAAGACAAAGGGCCACTTGGAGGTCTCTAAAAACCAATGCCTTCAAAAGGGCATTGGAATACTATTCAGGTAAAAATGATGTGAAGGAAGCAGGCACTAGATAATGGTGCTCATTTGAAGAGACTGCACAGTAAGACGTCTGTGATTATGCATCAGCAGCCCAGTTGACTGAGATGGGAGCTTCAGCTCCTTAATTGAGTGACAGGAGGCCCTTTCTGAAGAGGTCAGTCTTTTGTCATTTAAAATGTCCACAGCCGGTTGCCCATGATCTAGAAGGGGCACTGCCAATGGCCTAGACCTGTGGCCCAATGACCATTATGGACCAGGGTTGAGGGGAGGAGGCTCTGGTATGACCCATTTCCCCCTCCCCCACCACTTTTGCTCCACCCATTCCTAAGCCCTGAATGTTGTTCAGGCTGGAGCGAAGCAGCTGCACTGTCGAATGAAAATCTTAGGTGATGAAAAGATGGGGCCTTAACAAGGATTTATCTTCAACAACAATATTCACTGGAGCAGCCAATCTGACCCAGAGCTGCCCTTATTGAAAATTGCTCAGGGTGGGGTTGGTGGCATCAATCCCCTCCAATTTTGGTGTGGCCCATTTGAACACTCAGCTCACTACCCATAATCATACTATTGTTATTTGTTATAGAATAATATTACGCCTTTCCCAAGGGATATGGATGGAGTAATGTGACATATTGGCCAGAATTCAAGTCACTGAAATGATTGATGATCAGAATTTGTGGCATCCCATTCATTAAGGAGACAGTTTGAAGATCAGGCTTTGCACAATCAGCCAAAATGGCTCACCCAATCTGCTTCCTAAAATGCAGCATCGTTTGTACCAGCAAAATCATCTTAATGTGATGCTGTGGTTATTGAATATGTCTTTTCACAAATAACCGTGTCTGTGCCATCACATGAATTTCTTCATGATTGAATGAAAACCTCGATTCTGACTTGTTCCCATGCCTTCACAACTCACTCATGCAGGTTTGTTTATAAATAACTGTCATGTCAAAATTCATGGGAGTCCCACATACACTCCCAATACACGCCAATCTGCATCTACTGTCTTGTTGCTATTGGATTATAAATTGCAGAAATTCAATAAGCAAATCATCAGTTTCTGCTGAGATACACCGTGAAATTTTTCCTACTGTAACAGTACAGAATTGGTTCTTTTCACAAACCTAGTGGACCATTCAGGGCCAGCTTTGAAATCTGTATTGCTAACATTGTGGCTTATTTCAGGGTGGAGATTCCGATAGATTCTGTTCTGGCAATTTGAATCAACGCAATTTTAAATTTAATTCTCCAACTGGTCCCACAAGCCATACTTTCCTCTGTTTGCACATGTATTCTGATATATCTGCCTAAGCTGTGCAGCGTGATTCACACAATCCCTAACGTTCTTCTCCAGTACCTTGAATTCTCAAACTGCTGCCCAATCGTTTTGCTGCTCTGCAATCTCAGTGACTTTAAGATTGATTGGGCTGTGTATCTGCAGATCCATAGGACCATAAGACATAAGTAGGCCATTCAGCCCATTGTATCTGTTCCACCATTTCATGAGATAATGGTTGATCTGACAATCTTCAGCTCCACTTTCCTGCCTTTCCTCCATCGCCCTTATTCCCCCTCTGATTAAAAATCTTTCTATTTCAGCCTCAACAGACCTCTGTGGCAAAGAATTCCACAGATTCATAACCTTTTGGGCAAAAAAAAACTTCCCACCTCTGTCTTAGTTAGGATTACTGCAGTGAGGTTGTATCCTTGACAGTTGATGTATGCATACATGAGGATATGAATAATCACCTTCAAATGAGCAGCTTTGCACCAGTGGCAAGTGGATATTGCGTCAAAGAGGTTTGGACTTATTGGCCAAAGGTCAGAGGTTGAATTCACATGAGGTTGACTAATATTCAAGTATATGCAATATGTAATAAGACCTTAAACAAAGACAGATGCCCCAGAAGATGACGTTAATTGAGAAGAAAAGAGGTTTTTCTCTCTCTCTCTCTCTCACACACACACACACAGACACACAGACACACATGCACACAGACACACATAGACACGCACACAAATGCACACACACAGACACAGACTCTCTCACACACACTCATAGATATGTATATGTATATGTATATATAATGTTATAAAGCAGCTTACTGCACAATAAATAAATTAATATTTGTACTCACCATTGTTGTCTCTGCAATTGAACCAAAGCTGTTAATAAATATGTTGCAGCTGACATTAACAGGAGGGCCTGCAAAAACAATAAGCGAAAGAGTAAACCTCAAACATTCTCTCCAAAAGACGAAGCAAAATCAGAAACAAAATGTCCATCTGAATCAGGTTCATTCTTGACATTGAGAGAGCCCCTGAGACCTTGCTTACAGCTTCTTTTCCCTTCTGTCTCTGATTCACTTACTCAGTCCCCGACCTTCCAGCCACTGTTTTTTTTATCACCTGGAAGAGATGTGTATGGCAGGCTCCTCAGTGGTCTCTGTTCAGATTATCTCAGTTTGTAAGCGGTAACGAGACCACATACAAGGACTGAGCTTCTTTCTGTTGTGAAAGGAGACTGGGCAGAGAATGTGCACATGGTAGACAAACAGGAGGCTGGAAGAACACAGCAGGCCAGGCAGCATCTGAAGGAAAGGAGCAGTCAAAGGATAATACCCGAAACGTTGACTTCTCCTTTCCTCCAGATGCTGCCTGGCCTGCTATATTCTTCCAGCCTCCTGTTTGTCTACCTTGGATTCCGGCATCTGTAGTCTTTTTTGTCTCTAACAGAGAATGTGCACATATAAGGTAAGTAGATACGCAGATAACAAGTGGTCCCTGTAATTTCCTAGACTGGTTTTGATTGACAGAATCACAGAGCAATTTTCCACGGCATTTTCTCCTCTTTTTGGGTGCAGGTTTCTCTGTAAGAAGCAGGGAAGAAGGATGTTTAACCATGGTGTCTCAGGTATGATCGGTTGGTTATGCTGCTGGATATCTTTCTGTTAATTATTTTTGTATGCTCATTTTTGTTTTATCTCCTAGGGAGAGAGTCTGGACATTTCCAAATGCCATTGACTGAATTTTCATTTGGTCTAAATAACATTTAATATCCTTAGGGTAGTTACTAAGTACAACATGACGTTAGACACAAAACCCCTCCAATGCATTTAGTCTCACTGTTCAAGAGCACTAATTCGACTGTCTCTGCATTGCAACTTTTCACATTCACTTAAGCAGACAGTACTTCAGCTCAAAATCTCATCTGAAGGACACCACCTCAGGCAATACAGGGAGTCAGCTTGCAGAGTTCTGGTGTAGGTCTTGAACCCAGAACCTCATAACCCGGAGGCAAAAAGTGCAACATGCAGACAAATTACTTCATTAGGTGCTGAGCCTGCTGTTTATTGTGTACTGTCTGCACTGCAATCCGGAATTAAAGAACATGCATTTTGTATTAATTCAGGGAATTGTTGAAGACCAAAATAGAGCCACTCCTTGTGGTGTATATAGTCTAGTGCCAGTTCAGGACAAAGAGTATTGAAGACTCGCTCCTCGGTCTGCTTTCCTTTTCTCTCTATCCAGAAGAATTATCACACACAACTGAGTGACCTTCACCATCAAAATCATCTTGACGTCTTTGCTTTTTTTTCAACTAATGACCAGCACCAGTAAAAATACCCATATAGCCAATTGAAAATTTACAAGCAAAGGCCATTATGAGCAATGCAAACCATCAAATGAGACTGCGTCTGCTTTTTTAAAAAAATTTAACCTATTATACAATCAACCTATTCAGAGATATTTTTGCACACCTCTGAAGCGGGTAGGACTTGAACCTGGGCCTCCTGGTCCAGGGGTAGGGACACTACCACTGTACCACTTGAGAGCTTCCTAGGTTTGCTTGATAAAAGGCTCAGGTGATGAGTTCCAGGCCATTGCCTTTTACCAAAGGAACTCATACTCAACAAGCGCCAGAAGGTGATTAATTCGTGATTCTCTGTGGGCCTTGTAGGGGTTATTACATATTTATATTCTCACAACTCAGGTCTTCCCATAGCTGACAGCCGGTTGAAAGTTCTGTATTCTGCACCCAATGCTGTAAGACAGAATACTGCAAGCATGATGCCAAAAAGTGTGCAGTGAGCTCAACGGCACACTAACAGGTTTTGTTGATTCTACCTGGGGCTTAAGAATACTGTGAGCATTCTTCTGTTTTCCTCAAATAATGCCAGGGTCATTTTTTACATTTACATGAGTGGCAAGATAAAGCCTCTGCTTAACTTCCTCATTGAGAAGCTGACTATTAGAGACTAGACCACTATTACTGCAGTACCACTGAACTGGGTGCCTTAATTTTATGCTCATGCCTCTGCAGTGGGATTTGAACCTACAACTTCTGACACTGGATTAGTACTAAAACATCAAAGCTAACAGCTATGAGTGCACTTTGTAAGATTATTCAAACCAAGCATTCCTTGAAAGGTCAATTTCATGGCAGTTTCCAAGGCAATATCACGATCTAGCCAAGAAATACCTTCTATGCTTTGCATAGATTTAATGAACTTTTAAGTCATTTTAGGTAAAAATAAATAACGTTAGACTACTATAAGCTGCAGGATAATATTGGGATCTGAAGCTGACTTATTACACATTACCTTGTTTCCATCCTGGGTGACCTAAAAGTGAAATAACCTTAAACATTCCATGGAACAATTATAACCACATTTTCACAAACAAATCCAAAATTTAGCTTTTTAAAAGGTAATATCTGTGACTTTTTCAGTGTCATGCTAAATATAGCTCCAGAACAATGAGCGTCACCCAGCATCATGGCTCAACATCAGCAGAAAAATGTCAAGTGTAATATTTGGCCACCTGCAAATGCATTCTCACCTGGTACAAACGCTGGTTTGGTGATGTTTGGAAAGATTATCTCAGTAGGAGCAGAGAGTGCTCGTACCAGTAGGAAAGGAAGTTGCATTCATGTTCCTCATGACAGACTCAAGAAAGGGAATTTTAATTGACCCCTCCTTGAATTGATTACATTTAGCTCAGGTGGGAATCATAACAACTTAAGAACTAGGAACGGCAGTCAGCAATTCAGTCCCTTGAGCCTGCTTTACCACATAATACGACCATCTCAACAACCAGTCAACCTTCTCACCTGCTCCCCATAAACTGTCACCTCCTTAATCTTATTCAGGGCCCCAGTATCCACTGGACCTTGGGGCAGTGAGTTTCATCAGTTCAGAAACAAAGTTACTGGAAAAGCTCAGCAGGTCTGGCAACATCTGTGAAGAAAACATCAGAGTTAACGTTTCGGGTCCGGTTCTGAGGAAGGGTCACAGACCCTGAAACGTTAACTCTGATTTTTTCTTCACAGATGTTGCCTGACCTGCTGAGCTTTTCCAGCAGCTTCTGTTTTTGTTCCATAGGTTCAGAACCTTTTCAGAGAAGTAATCCCTCCTCATGCCTGTTTAAATCTGTCACCACCCATCCCAAAACTACAACCTCTCATTCTATATTGCCCAGCAAGGGGAAATACCTGATCAACATCTGCTTTGTCAATCTCCTTTAGCATCTTCTCAGAAATGTTACAGATCTGAAGCAGGAACCCAACCTTCTTTAATGCACATCCACATATTTCTAATGGCTGCACTATCAAATGTGGTGATAATTCTGCTCTGATGAGGTTATGGCATCATTGAAACTGTATGCTTCAAATTTTATCAGATTTATATTTCTAAACATATGTTGGCTGTTTTTCCCAGGTCTTAACACCTCCTCACTAAACCTCATAACCCTGTGATCACCCTTAACTAAAGCCCCTTTAATGTTAATTCCAACTCTCAACCTTCACTGTGATCTCCAATTCTCTCCCAATCTGCTATTCCTTTCCTGATTAACAAATTTCCTGTGATCTCCTCATCTTTCTGGAGACTTATGGACACCTCTGCATACATTGACCCCTGATGTCTTTGATTCTTCCTGCCTTAATCACCCCTTGACCAATTCTCCAGTTACCATCAATCTTCTCCATAAGATCAACAACGCCATGTCTCCACAAGATCTTCAATTCTCCCCCAGTCCCTGATATGCCCAACTTATGAATCTCCTAACCATATCTCTCAACCCAAAACCCATCTTTTCCTGAAGTTGTGGCCATGAGCCTCAGGATTTCCCGGAGAGACTTACAGACAGGTAAGTTTGACAATCAGGCTGGCTTGCTGTGAGGAATTTCTCAAAGAGACATGATTGCCCACTCAGCTAGAATTCCACAACATTCAGGGAAATTAGCATTTGGGCTTTTTGGCCAGCTATCTCATGAATGTCAGGTACCAAGATTCTACATCCAAAACTTCCAGTGTCCGTGGTAGGTAAAGCAACTGGTACTGATACAGAACTCTAACTTCTGAAAAAGAGTCATAAAGGATTTGAAATGTTAACTCGGTTTGTGTCTCCACACATGCTACCCAGGCCTGCTGAGTTTCTCCAACATTTTCTGTGATTTGTTCATATATTGGTACTGGCGATTTTTTTCTACCTTCGCAGAATATTCCAGTGCATTGTGCTGATTCTCGCAATAAACATTGCATCTAGTGCCACTCACCTGCCTTATCTCTGTAGCACCGTACACTCTATCTTTTCGGAAGGTAATGTAATTTGATCTTAAATGCCTCAACTGAATCTACCTCTACCACACTCTCAGACAGTGCATTCCGAACTTAATCTTTTCATCCAAAAACCTAAAGCATCATTTCCTTCAAATGTTGACTACATTCTGTATCGAATCCGAATAAGCCTTTATGATCATTGTGAAATGCCAAATAAAAAGTGAATATAATTCATAGAGTCATTGAGTCCTACAACACAGAGACAGGCCCTTTGGCCCAAACTGGTCCATGCCAACCAAAATGTCCATCCACGCTAACCCCATTTCCCTTCACTTGGCCCATATCTTTCTAAACCTTTCCTCTACAAGTATTTGTCCAAATGCCTTTTAAATGTTGTTAATGTACACGCCTCAACCACTTCTGCTGGCAGCTCATTCCATATGCATACCACTCTCTGTGTAGAAAAGTTGCCCCTCAGGTTCCCATGTATTCTTTCCCCTGTTACCTTAAACTGATGCCCTCCAGTCCGCAATTCCCCAACTCTGGGGAAAAGACTGAGTGCATTCATCCTTTCCATGCCTCTCTTGATCTTATATACTTCTATGAGATCCCCTCTCAGACTCCTATGCTCTAAAGAAAAAAG